CTGAAGACTGCAGTTGTATTTTGTATGCCTCGACTAAGAGTCCTCGAGCTTGATGGGTGACTGCATCCTTGAGAGGTGGCTACTTCTCTCTGCAATTGTTCATCTTGCAAGCAGGAAATCCATTAAATTGTCTTGTGGCATTAGTGGCTAGCAGGTCACCACCTGCCCCAGCCTGTGCTAGTTTTGTAAATGTAGCTACTCCAGCTATGTTACGGTTTAGAAAAAGATATGAAGGTTCCTGGCCTGGAAAAATTGTTTTAAGTATTAAAAAAAAAAAAAAAGAAAAAACATTACTTAGAGTAGTCTTTAAAGAGGTCTTTAAAAAGGCAGGGTTGAAACTAGGAGAGGAAAGAAGGCTACAGCTCTCTCTTCATTTCGAAGTCTGTAGGTGGTTGTGAGCAAGTTCTGGCTGTTCAGTATAGCTGTTGGAACTGGAATATGTTACTTTTATCAATTTTGAATGCTATTTAGTGACTGTTTCCATAGGCATAGGATTTTAAAATGCTTTCAGTACTTTCTAGAAAGAATACGAAAGCAGCTTTGGAAAACACTTGCACATTTTTGTTGTTGTTGTCGTCACTGTTGTCATTGTGATTTTTTTTTTTTCAGCCACAGCAGTAGAGTAATCTGTAAGAAAGAGTAACCTAGTCTCTTGGAGCATGTGTATTGTGTAAATGGGGAAATGGGGCATGTAGTGGTCTTCCTCTCCTGCGGAAATACTTGAGGTTTTAGAAGTTTGGAACATAAATAAGACTTTTAATGCTTTTATTTTCTTTCTGTGTTTCTTTTTTTGTTGTTTTGTTTTCTCTCATCCCCTTCCTCCCCCCTCCAAAAAAAGAAGAATAAACAAAGAAAAAAGTGAGAGAGTGTGAGGGAAGCGGGAGAGGGAATGAGGAAGCGGTAGTTGTGCAGTGTGCTGAAGGAGACCTCAGCATTTCCCAAATTGGATCATAGCCAACACAGCCTGATAATGTTAAGATTCGGAGCCAATACTTGTTGCCAGTTCAAATTTCTTCAGAAATATTGCTGTGCTCACTTTTTTGTGTGTGCTTTTAGACTTTACTCCTGATTAGATATTGTCCATTTGCCTTAGAAAGCTTTTACAGCACCTCTTACAGCTGATCTACAAGTCATTTTGCCTCTTGTGTCCCCTGTTCAGCTCCTTGATCCCTGCAGGCACTGTCACAATGTCATTGCCTGTATTAAAGACCTAATTTCCAGCCCTTTCATTTTCTCTTTAGATATTTACTGCGATTGGGCCTCGCTCTCTTTAACTTTGCTCCCCTCTGAAGGGAGTCAGGGGCTGTCCTTGTGATAGATAGAGAGGCCACTTAGGAAAATGCTGCAGTTGCCAGAAGCGGGGGCTGCTCGAGTTCCCTGCAGCTCTCCCAGGCACGTGGGGTTAAGGGAAATATAGTCTCCCGCGAGGACGATTCAGGACTAGCTCTTTGACCCTGAGCCTTGCAACCTTTGGGGCACATTTCCAGATGTGCTTTGCTAACACAGCAGCCCAGCACCGCGAGCCGTGCTGGTGCTGGGCTGCAGCGCTCTGCTTGCTTCTGTGCAGCTCGGGGGAGGAGAACGTCCCCCTGTTCTGACTTGCCGCCAGGCGGTTGCCAGCCGTGCCCGGCACTCGTCGGCCGCGGCAGAGCCAGGGCAGTCAGTGCGTGCTGCGGGTGCCACCGAAGTGCACGTGCGCTGTCCTGAGCGAGCGCCTTGCTCCCGGGCAGCTAGTGGGTGTTGCACATGGCAAGCGTATGTGCAGATGTACAGATATGGAGCAGGGCATTGCTGGGAAGCAGTAGTCCAGCTTCGGACTTTCCGATCCTATAGTTCCTACAGACCCACAGTCAGTGACAGAGAGGCACAGTGTGCCTGGGACATGTGCTGCCTGCTGTGCCTCTCATCTCCTTGGCGTGCGTGGCCTTCAGCTGCCGCGCGCAGCGTTGATACCGGAGCACTCGCCCTGTGTGCAGCAGCTGCCAACAGTCACCTTGTGATGGGGCAGCTGTGGTCAGCAGGAGTCACTCGAGGGTAATCAGCGCGGCTGCGGCCCAGCCCAGCACCCTGTGAGCGCGGTGGTTTTGGCAACTAGCCAGTTGCTCTCAGAGCTGTCTCTGCAGTTTCTGTTTTGTACAATTCGTACTGGGTGGTACCTTTTCTCCTGTGGCATGTTTTATGTCTCCATTTTCAAAACTCTGTACTGTTGCTTTCATTGGATTTTCAAGCTGTTCTTTCAAAGCAATGTAAAAAAATAGGGATGCCAATTGCTGCATGACCCTGTGGATCTAGGGAATTAGCAACAGCAGGACCTTAAATTACACCAGTAAGTAAAGTAGGATTTTGGAAGGGAGAGGACGGGAATGTTTTCTTTACCCCACCTTCTTTTTCTCACTTTCTGTGCACATACACATGCAGATAGTGCAACCATTCAAAGTTCAAACAGGTAACTGTAAAAGACTTCCATAAATTACTGAGGTCAGATTCCTTCATTTCTGTCCGTTTTTGTGACTAAATGTTGGTCTTCCAACAAAAACCTGGAGATAATGCAGGTGCAGCTGCTGTCTGGGGGACTCTGATCCGTAACTGCCAATATCCGTTCCTCCTTGCTGGTTCAGGCATGGTGTTGGATAAAGCAGGCGCACAAAATCCGGGGGTGGAATCACAGGGAAGGGATAAGCCAGGTCCCAGTGGCTTTTCATCTTGCCTGCAGACAGCTCAATGCTCAGCCCTTAGCCCTGGGGCAGCAGGGTAGCAGCTGAGGTGATGATGTAGCGTTTTCTGGGAAGTGGCCGAGGTTTGTTTTTTTTCCCCATCTCTTTCTGGGCTGTGCAGTGTGCCGAACCAGCCGGCAGTGCTGCTGGTGCCCAGCTTGCGAGGGACGGAGGCAGCCTCTTCTCTGATACCCTCCAGCCCTGCTGCTTGAGTGTCACCTCCGCCACCGGGAAGTTGTGCCTCCACTCGGGATCCTTAGGCACTTCCAGCACGACGCTTTGCTGCCGGTTTGTGACCAGTTCCAGATGGTGCATAGAAGAAAGGATGACATGGTTGAAATATTCTCCATTTTATTTATATAACTTTCAGTCATTTTTTAAATTATTATTTCTCAGCTATTTTAGTTATTGAAGGCTCTACCCACAGCGAGATTTCCTCTCAGAGCTTCCTGCTCTTGCTATCATGATTTCGTTTCTAGCCACAACTCTGCTGTAGGCAGCCACCACCATTTTAACCGCTGTATTGCCCAGCCTCCATCTGCTGGTCACTTCACCTTTTTCTTGGATCTAGAAGTCACATTTTAGGAGCACATCACCATATGTGTGTATTTTAGCATGCATAAGCTGTGTGGGGAGGGTGGCACCATGCTACCACTATTTTTATTTTCCAGTTCCCAGACAATACAGCCAGTGTGCCTGCAGGAAGCTGCAGGATCCCAGTGCAGCTGCTTCCAGGAAAGCAGAGGTTTCTGCTGGGATCTGGCAGGTGCTGAGGAATAGGTTGGCTCACCCTGAGCACCAGGATGTTGTCACCTTGCAGCTCCTGGATTCGTGGAGTTTACAGAGACAGCTTTTCTCCTCATTTCAAACTTCATTACTTGGAATCAAATACCACTTCCCTGTTTTACTGTGGAGTTTAAAAAAACACACTAGATGAAGCAGCATAGCTAACTCATTTAAACCTTGATTGGTAAAAACACTTGCTCTGCAGACTTGCTTCATATAGTATTAGGTAAAACACTGTTTTAAATGCATTGGTTGCCAGTGTTGTCAATGCTGCCATTCATGGACCTGGACAAGCGGGGCTGGCAAGGAGAAGTCAGCAAACAAAATAAGGAATAACTCTCTCGGGCTAGGGATAACTTGAATTTCTGCTTATTTAAACAAGCAGAAACTCTAATCTCACCCAGTCTGCCTATCTTTCATATGAATTTTCTTTATGGTATGTCCAAAATTTCTAATTAGAAACTTGACTTTAGACTTTCTTTAGAAACAGCACTGCCTTTGAAACAGTATTTTACTCTGATTTAATTTTCACAACACTAAGTAAAGCCCTGCGGGTAGAATAATGAGCACCTATCTTCCTGTGGGCTAGCTGATGATTTTTCAAGTTAGTTAATTTTTGCCTGAAGCATAATCTTTATAAGAATAGATACCTGATCATATACTCACTTCTCAGTACCACTGGAGACAGATTTCATGCTGACCATTGAGATGAGTATTATCATGCAAGTGCTAACAAGACTGGCTGGGAATAATTAAGTTATGTGTAGGTGTGAGAACCATAATGATTCTGATAAATTCCCACGTTAGAAAGCAGCCTGTTTGATTCAGTACTTAGTCTAATGGGAACAAGATGATGCAGGAGGAATTTTCTTTGATACTGTTTTGCCTCGTGGAAACTGTATAAAAACTATTTGTAGTAATGGTAATTTGCAATTACAAATTCAAATCTGGAATAAGGATAGGGAGAGAAGTCGCCTTTAATAACCAGGAGCGTTATTTTGTCAAGGGGGTTCTCAAAGCCTGGGGAACCTTACAAGGTTGCACAGATTTCTGTGATGGACAGTTACTCTTGGCGTTTTCCTTATCCGTATAGCCATGCGTACCTGGGTGATAGGCTGTTCACATGCAGAGAGGAGTATAAAATATTTTCCATCTCAGTTGCCTCTAGGGTCTTCAGGCTATACACCTAGTTCTGTTTTCGGTACAGACAAGCCCTCAGGCTGACCAAGCTACTTTGAAGTGTAAAATAAAATAAAATAAAAATACTTGCAGCTGTATGTATGGTATCTTTTATGATCCTTTGCATGTGTTTTTCTTTAACTTCATGCTTGATAGAACCTTAAAAAGGTGAACAAAAGAAGGATTTGGAAGCAGTAGAATTAACTTCCTTATATTCTGTGGGTCTTTCAACATGACATCACTAAAAATCTCAATGCCTTGAAATCATTGTATGATTTGAACCTGTCTTACCTGCTTTTTTGTTTTGTTTGTTTATTTTAGGCCAAACTAACAAAGTAGCCAAGGAGGCAGCCAATAGGTGGACCGGTGCGTATGAATTTATGTTGTTTAATGCAGCTTCAGACTCGAGCACTTAACAGTGAGGAGCTCTTTTACTCAAGGATGATATATTTTATTAGACCTTCATCTAGAATGACCTTCACCTTTCAAAACATAAGCAAATTTATTTTGGATGTACTTAATCATGATCCCCAAATAATATGCGGTGAAATTGCAGTTCAATTACTGAGTGTATTTCACATCTCATAACAGATTTCCTCTTCTAATACAACCTTACCTACCATGTTAAAACATGCACCTCAGGGGAGGTGTGTGTGGGTTTTTTTTGTTTTGTTTTCTTGATTTTTTTTTAGGAGCTAAAGGAGCTTAAGATGAAGAAAATGTTAATAGAAAGAGACCTGAAATAGTTGCTGAGAGTCTGGCACTGTCGTAGTTCCAGGTCTTCAGAATGTCCAGTTTGCCTTTTCTGAATTTTGGTCTGATTCTGGAGAGTGGGATGTTGTGTGGAATCTTATTGCTGCCAGCATATGATGGGTGCTAATATAGTTATTTCTCAAGGAAATTCATCAGCTTTGACACAAGGAAAAAGTGCTGTGCGGCCTTGAAGAAGGTTATTACAGTAACATTTGCGTGGAAGTTCACCTCAGTTTGCTGTTGCGAAGCCCTGCTGTATTGCTATATATTTCTGTTTCACAGAGCAAGGAATATGTATGTCCTTGCTCCTTTTTTTTTTTACTATTATTCTTTTGCAATGTTGTTTGTAATTTTATGTCTAGAATTCATCTGCTGATGATTGACTTGCTCTCATCTGCTATGCCAAGTGTAGCTGGAGATTATAGCCATAGTCTTATTTTATATCTTCATTTGAATCGGATCGTTCACTGCTTATGAGGAAATGAAGTCATGTATTTGGAAAATCACTTCTGTGGATCCCATTGCCAAGACTTTTTGCTGTTTGTGACAAACTTTTATTCTCCAGTTTTTGAGAGAGATGATGAAACTATGTCCTTATTTATATAATGTACTTTACTGCCTAGAGAATTAGGCTATATGCTATGGCATATGGTTTCTTTTGAAGAGGCAGTTTTAAATCAAAGTTCTGGTGGTTACTGAAAAAGCAGGGATTTCCAAGGCACAGCAAACACTCTATCTCAAACAATACTGCGATGTATGGGCTTAGCAATGAAATAGAGAGTTTCAACCAGTACTGCAAAAAATCAGTGGGTTAAACTGAAGAGGGCGTATATGCTAAAGTAAGAGTAATGTGATGCCAAAAGAGAAATGCTGACCAAAGCAAGGCTTTTTTTTTTTAATTTTTTTTTGCTACTTTCAAGCTAAATATGTTTTATCTGAATAAGACATACACAGGACTGGAAGGGAATGTATGTTTAATTGGTATCTGATTTTGCAGTTGAAGATAATTGCCCAGTAGATGTTTAGTTGAAAAAGGACCAATAAAATACTTACGCCTCTTTACATATTCCTCATCAGCCACAAAGAATAGATTTACAATGTAAACTAGTAGCTTTCAGTCTTCTTCTAGGGGAAGAACAAGAAAAGATTAAGACAACCTCCCCAAAAAATCATTTTATTTTGTACTGAGTAAAATAATGTCACTAGCGAAAGTCTTTCTTATGTATTAGATATATTTAATAATGATATTCAGATACTTTCCAACTGCCTACCTTTTTCATATGTGGAGCAGTAGTGCAAAGACTATAATTCTTGCTTTCTTACTAAAGTAAAAGTATTTTTCACTCTGTTTACAGATAACATCTTTTCAATAAAGTCCTGGGCCAAGCGTAAATTTGGATTTGAAGAGAGCAGAATTGACAAAAGCTTTGGAATCCCAGAAGATTTTGACTACATTGATTAATGTTCAGCAGTTGATTGCTGACACAGTTGTAAATGTTAAGTATTGCTCATTTGGCATTTACAGGTATATCTGAATCCTCTCCAAACAAACTATCCCCTTTTAATTTTCAGATTTTCTTAAAGTTAATAAAATTCTAAAAATACCATTCCAATTTTTTTTTAACTTCTTTTTCCATCCTGATGTTCCCTGGGCAATTCCTTGCTTGGTACTTGTGTAAGACAAGCCAAGATTAGACAGGGGTTATGAGGAATAATTATTACATTTTTGCTTTTGCTAAAATTGAAGTGATACAACTAAGAGCTAGAAGCTCCAAGGAATTATGTTTAAACAAGTTGAAGACTTCGGAAATAACGCTAGAGGATATGCAAGAAAAGTTTTCCCTGATCAAGACAATGAGGCACAAAGATGTGTGATCCATTCAGGTGATCACCGAGGTGGTATGGGGTAAAGAGAAGGACCCAGGCTTGATTTCTCCTTGTGCTTTATTGTGTTGTTACAGTTGCTGTGAGTTTAGACACAAATGTTTTTGTTATTTGAGGAAAAAGAAATGGTTCATCAGAGCTCAATCTTTTTCCTGTATGTGTAGTAGATTTGAGAATATTTGTTTTGAGAATTCCTCTCTGGTCGAGGTTAAAGCTACATTGGAGAGGAGACGAAGTGAACTGATCCATCCATTTGCGTCACAGTCAACTTCGGATGCCAGTTTGGGATGTGAGAGACCAAATTCAAATTGCTGGTCAAAACTGGGCTTTTTTGATTTATGTACATTTTTCAAATTTAAATAAAAAATGCGGCCAATCAAAATAGCAACAAAGTATAGAAAGTCTCGCTTCTTTTTACTGACATTTCACAAGCACCTCACTCACTTTGAATTTGTGCTTTCTGATTCTGGTCATTGCATGGCCACAAGAGGGAGGATGGAAAGTATAAATTGGTCTTGGATCTCCCACATTGGTGGACTGCAAGACCACATCTCTGCTGTGCAACTTCAGAGGTCATTACAAGTTTGCCAGCGAGGATAATAATCTATATACTTCTGGAAGACAATTATACCCTATGCTAGATAGGGCTGTGTGTATGTGTATAGCACCTATAAAAATCACCAAAAAAAGTGTTCTGTCTTCCTTTCACATAAGTAGATAACCAAATAAATGATACTGATGAGAGTATTGCTGAAAAGGTGACATTAAGCTAAAGATACACTCAGAAATCTGTCTTCTGCAACCTTTCCAATTAAAAAGTTTACAAGTAGTTTAATACTTGTTAAAAAAGAGGGATTTCAGATATAGTCCTGGCTATTGTCTAGGCTTATGTCTATGATCATGGCAAGTTGTGAGGGTATTGAATGAAAACTTACTTTTATGGAAGCAACCAGCTATCTATTGACTAAGGAAAATGTAGGTGAGATCTGGTGCAAAGTAAAACATCATGTCACAAAGTAAAACTTCACTGTGCTTTCAATAATTTTATTCCTATTTAACATATTGCCTGTTACTACCTGAGCTGGTAAAAAAAAAAAAAATCCTGTCTGTGTTATAGTTTTAAGTGCAGAATTTCTTATCAGGCCTGTCTTTTGTCCCACAAACAGAGTGCCAGTGATCAAAGCGAAAAAGTGATGGTGCCAAAGCAAAGTATGGATAGTGGAAGTTGTTCTTGGATTTTGTGGATGGTACTTGGCTTCTATAACCATTTTCTCATGAGTGAGCTTCTACCTTATGGACTCAAATACTTGTGCAGTCTCTGGTCTGGGAACTCACGAAGACTTCCTGTGGTACCTGAAGCAGCTGTCTTAGGTTTTCGAGGGAAAAAGTATTTTTATGGTTTGGGCTGCCTTCTAATTTCAAGGGGGAAATGAAAATGACCAACTGTTTAAGTTCAGTTGCAATACCTGTGGCTTCCTGTCCATAGTGTGAAACCATTGTGGACTGCACTAGGGTTACTGAATATTAGTATAATATATATAATTTACTGCATATTAATATCTACCACTGTAGTAGAATTTAGTATTATAGTAAATAACCATATAAGAATTGTTTGGGGGAGACTTGCTTAGAGATATTACAGTCAACCAGCATGAGTGATTCTTTTTGAACGTTAAACACAGCTCTCATGCTTTGGTCGCAAAACTTAAGCAGCTCAAGCACAAGCTATTTCTAGCAATGTATTTTTGTAGACCTTTGGTTCATTAGTACAGGCTAGACCATAGACATGCAGTTCTACTCTGACTTCTACTCAAATTCTCTCTTCAGATGTTGGTTTTTAACCCTGGCAAGAGAATCTGTTTCTGCCTGTAAAGACACAGTTTTGCAACATTTTTATAAATTTCTCCCATAAAGAGGAAGGGAAGAAGAGGCGCATTACAGTCGGAAACCTGATGCTTATTGCTGTAGTGGAACTGGTTTATTTTATGTTACCTTTCTCGCATTTCTGTATTCTAGTATGGATAACTTTGAACAGGAAAAGCAAGTCTGATCCCCTCTGAGGCAAATGGGGACAATTTGTACTTTTGAATATTCCAAGGTATTTTCAGACTGCTGCATCTGCTTATTTTTAATTGTATTTCTTAGAATACAGCAGAATTCTCAATCCATGCTTTGGGATGGTGAGTGTATGATTTAGAGATGTGTACGTCCACTATAAATATACTTTTTTAAGGGAAGCCAAGACTTCTGGTTTTTGCTGAGTTGAAATTTAAAGGCAACTGAAATGATTTTCCTTTTCCTGAGCTGTTTTTGGCTGTTAGCCTCTAACAAAAATGAGAAGTCAGTCCCGTCCTTGTGTCCTAGTTTTTTTACAGAGTTTTCTTGAGAGAATCTCAGGTATTTGTAGATAGTCCAATATAGCAAAGGTGTTTGTGTGGTGGTGGGTGGAGGTGGTTAAATGCTCCCTTCTGTTCTTGTGCTTATGTCACTGCTGTATTATGCGCAAGTCTTCCTCTTTTTTTTTTTTCCTGCACTGTAAGTTTTTTTGCCCATGTAAGGTAAATACTTTCAACTGTTAGAGCGAAGCCGGCAGCTCAGGCCCTTACTACCGTTTAAGTTTAAAACAGCTACTTGTGCAAAATGTGCGAACGGAGGACTGTCTGTCTGTCTGTGTGTCTGTCTTCGTAGTTCACAAACATCTGCAGCCAGTATCAGGCCCAGCTTTCCCAAATAATGTCACGAGGAGTTTATCAGCCTGAGGGCAGAGTGAAGCGCTGGGTGAAGAGCCTCCTGCCGCCACTGATGCTGAGGAGCCACCGTGAAGCCAACCCAGACACAGGGTGAAACACTGGCTGCTCTACTCAAAACTACTACTGGTTTTGGGAAAAGAATTCTGCTGATTCTGTTTGCCCTGAAATAATCTATTCTGCCTCAGCTTTGCTTTTGACTTTTTCTTTCAACAACATCCTTGTGGTTGGTACAACACCAAGCCTACGCTCCAGGATCGCCGTTGTGGTACTTGCACAGCATTAAAACGTTGCAGTCCCAAGTGTTGGGGCTCTGAGGCAGTTCAGCTGCCAAGTCCTTCATTACCGCATCTTCTGAAACGCCTTCGGTTGCACTTTCCAGGGCTCGGCGTGCAGCAACCTGCATGTTTTAGGCGGGAAAACTGAGGCGTGGGAGCAACTGGCCCAGTCAGTGGCAAAGCTGGAAGTGAAACTTCCTGGGAGGACAGCCCAGGCCGTGAGCGTCACGTCTCACGGGGAGCAGGCTGAATTTCCACCAAATTTAACCGGAGGGCTAGCGACGGGGGTTCCGGCTGGTCCGTTTGGCTGGGCTGGCTGCCTGGGAAGCAGGGTTTCGCTTCCCTCCTGACGGCCGCAGGAGCTGAGGGGACAGAGCGTGCTGGTGAGGGGCAGAGGGAGGACAGATGGGGCCCAGGGCTTGGACGTTTTTTAATGAAAAGTGAAGTCATCATAAGAAAAGAAGGACCTTTCTGTGTGAAAGGCTTTGCTTAGATAAAAGCCTGTCCTTTTGGTTCAAAAAGCCTCAGTGACATAGCAAAAACTAGCTCTACATAAGCCATCCAAGGGATGCAATTTTTCAGGTAAGACGATAGAACTGAGTTAGGAAGGAGTTCAAAAAGAAAGCAGTTAAAAATCGGGCCTCTTGGAGAAGCCAGCAGAGGAAGAAAGTGTGTTTTACTTGAAAAGGGGCTGGGTTACAGTCTGTGTGTTGAAATGCGGCCGACAGGGCTCCCCTCTGCCACAGGACTTCTCTGTTGTACTTCTGGAGATGAGATTTTTACATTGAAGGGCAAGAGCAGTATTTTTTCTTATTTGTATCATGTACAGTAGGAAATCTGATCACACTCCCCCTTTCCCTCTCTGTTTAAAAGAGAAAAGCAGAGTTATCTATCACGTGTTTTCTTGCATTATCCCTGCTAACCATGCGAAGTGATGTCCCTTGGTGCTCCGAGCAGCCTGGGAATTTTGAAGGAAGATAAAAGTCATGGTTTTTTTCTTGATTTCTCGGAAAACTTAATAGACTCTTAAATCACTTTTTTTTTCTTGCCTGTTAACACTATATTGGTAAAAATTGCTCCCAGTTGTAGGAATGCCTGTTAATTTTTTTGTGGATGTGAATTAATCAGCATTAGCAATATTCCTCTGTGAGCCTTCTTTTCTCTTAAAATCTATTCTGGGAAGTGTATTTCTCAATATGCTTTTAAAAAGACAAATCAATTCATGAGATCAATAATTTAAAAAATCAAAAGTCTAGGTTCTGCAGCAGACCTGACTGCTGTTTCATGGTCCTTAATATCTATATGAGGAGGGCAAATAAGAAACATCACTGAGGAAAGTGACATCAGGAACTCCAAAGTATCAACCTCAATATAAATTGCTGGGATTGACTTTCATGCTATTCACTGATTTCAATTTGATAGTTAGCACCATCACCCTCACATTTTAAAAAAAATCTGGATCATAGGTTCCATTTTTGGCAAAATTACTATTAAAGTGCTGTAGGTAGATAGTTTCTTGAACAGCCGTTTTCAGCAAATCACCTTCAAAGCCACCTTTGGACTCAGTCAAAATTTTGGAGTCCTTTCAAGGTGCTATAATAACATTGATTTACTGTGTTCAAGTAAGGAGTAATGAAAAATAGTTAAAATAATTCAGAATCACAGCGTTTGATTTAAAATGTCTCAGTCAAAAT